GGGGGGGGGGGGAGGGGGGCGAAGGAGGAGCTATATCTCCGGAAATTGTATATAAAATACACACGCGCATACACATATACACACGCGTACGTATGTATAAATGTATAATATCGCTGTATCGATCGTATCTGGCGTCAGACCTCAACTTGCATGCGCTACGTCCGATTACTTTGCGTTAAATTAATTTGCGGAGATGCGTTCGCTGTTTATACCTGTACATAACTTCTTGAATTATTAAATACACGTCTCTCAAAAATAAAATCTACTCCTTTATTTCTGCAACTCGTACCTCTCCTGCTTATACAGAGTTTTTACGTTAAAAAAAAAAGATTGAAAGATTAAACAATTTCAAGAAGTTTATATATGTATATATACACGCACAATTTATTAGAGATGATATGTATATAATATTTAACAGGTGATGTAATCATCACGAATTCAAACATAATAAATTAGTAAATAACAGACCTTTTGTAACAAAAATTTTATAAATGTTTGAAGGAAGGTAATATCTTTTTGGAATTTTAAATCCATCTTTGAGTCATGCATTTCTCGCATAAGTAGCACAATTTTTCTTTATACTGCTGACACACTATTCATAGTTATTATCTGTAAACCGACAACATTGCAAGACACAGAGTCTTATTTACCTTTTCTGCTGAGATTTCGCGGCATCGAAATCACGTTTCAGCGATCGTCACGATTGTATAAGACAGAATAGGAAAGAGGAAAAAAGCTATACGGATCTTCAGGCGCAGTATTGTCCAGGGATGAGATGCCCTTCCATATTACTTCACTATGTGTCGCCATAATGCCCCTCCGTAGAATCCATACAGGAGGGGATTGGCGGTCCTGTAATCTTCGCGGAACCTTTGTGCCAGGCGAATAAAGAGACGTGTCGCGACCCCCATGGGAAAAGAGAGAGAAAAAGAGAGCGAGACAGAGAGAGTGAAAGAGAGCTTTAAACCTAAGAGGCTGATTTCTCGAAATCCTCCGCAACTGTTCGCTAATAGGTTCCATCCACTTTGTGCCATATAAATTCTCCCATCTTTCCACGATCAACGCGCCTAGTTAGTTTATCAACAGAGAGAGAGAGAGAGAGAGAGAGTAGGATGCGAGGATTAGATAAATATCTTGATAGAGGTAGCTGATTGGCAATTGCGAAAGATAGGAGAGATTAGAGTAATACCTTAATAAAATTAAATCCTATACCGGTTATTATATTTAAAAGCGTAAATCTACAAGATTATTGATTTGATTCGGCATGATGTCGTTATTAATTATGCAATATTTTATTCCGCCGAAAGCAATTAATCCTTTCGCACTTGTTCATTCATTGATACGTCTTATTTGAGGCGTACGCTTTATAATAGTAAATTTTATCTTTGCAACACCGCGTCGAAAAGCATGCGTAATGGCACCGCAATAACGTCGTTAATCCAATTCTTGCGGGCGATCGGGATATCCCCGTTAGGAAGTTCCCATAAGCCAATTCCACAACGAAGACCAGAAAGTCCAACGATAAATCTCCAAGCTCTCTTCCCCCATATTCCCACCCCCTCTCTCTCTCTCCTCTCTCTCTTCCATTCCACACTGCCAGGTCGAGCGGGAATTCGATTGGCAGTGCATTTCCTGGCGACAGGGATATATCCAGGTCCGAGATCGTGCCGACGTCCTGGGAGGACACCCACAAAGGCATCGCGGAATCTACTTAGCTGCCGAGACCTTCTCCGAGGCTCTTGTCACCTTCCTCATCCTTCCTCCTCGGCGAGGCTGTCGAGAAGTCGGCGGTCGTCGGGCCGATCGACGACGGAGCGACCATGTCGGGTATAGCGTGCCGTATATGGTACATAACGCCGTGTGGAAGAGTCAGCCGGTCGAGCGCAGGAAGCAATTTCGCAATTTTCCTCCTTGACTTTGTCATCTTCGCTTTGCTATTCGCCTCGGCGAAATAGAATTTTCCCAGGCGACTCTCCGCCGCGCTCGCGACGACGTCGAGATGGAGTGGTGGCAAGGGTGGCGGTCGCCTCCCGCTCCTCTTCCTTCTCCTTTTCCTCCTCCTGGAGTGCAGCTTTTATATCGACGTGTCTTCGAAGAATTTTCAGAATCGCTCCTCCCGTGGGAAGCTTCCCTCCGGCGTCTCGAGTACGTCTGTGGGTGTTGTGTGTGCACGTACCGCACGTTGTGCACGAGCACTTTTGCGAGAGGATGTTTCTTTTTTCTCGTAAGCGAGACTATGTTCGATATATCACGGTAGGAAAATAAAATATCATATGTGGAGTGTTCACGGCGGCTCTCGATCTCTCGGACTCGCTGTCGAGTGCGAGTTCGAATTTTTGGATCTCCGAATTTTTTTACAACGGGCACACGAATTTCCGCGGTGTACGGGACGATTTTTATTAACCAGCCGAGGGGACAACACGCGCACCAGCACACCGTGACGTCCACGTAGCCCGAGGGTATTACGTCTGCTAGGGCATGGCAGGGAGAGAACTCGCAAAACAGAGCAGTCGCAGTTGCTTCGATTAAAGCTCGAAAGAATTCGGATGCGTAACTAATTAATGTGGGATAGAGATTTCTCTCGTATCCTTCGTGAATGATTACAGTAACAAATTCAGTGGTTATCCGGGAATGTAATATATAAGATACTAATTCGCTCGTTAGTTATTAAACAATAAATTAAACAGTCGACAACGAACGATTCCCCCGACATTTTTCGCTAAGGAAAAATTGATTTTCAAATGGACGGGATAACTTTGACCGGTCACTAATGGTCGTCTTTCGTTCGAATTAGTACTGTTTTGCACGGCATATAATAAACCGATGCATTTCTATTAAGATCACGAAATTGCTCGCTGCTATGCGAGGGACACACGCCGGGGGAGTCGAGGAAATCGGCGTGAATCATATAATTGTTTGAGGCCCGTCTACTGTCTACCGGCCTGTACGGACCCTCCGACACTTTCTTGCCGAACCCCAGGAAGACGACCCTTGTATTTGTCCGGGAGGAAAGGATCACGAAACGCCCTTAACTACGGCATACCATCGACGGTGGTGTGCGCTCACCACCCCGGTAATCTTCGTGACATCAAACATTTTGCACGATCAAGCCAAAGGGGCAAAGGGGGAGTTGATGTCAGCCCATGCTGACACAATGATAAAGTACACTGATATCGGGAGAAAGAGAAAGGCTCGATCTTCGAAGAGTACGTCTTTTCGTGAAAATAAACGTCGCAGGGCGCGCGCGATTTACACCTAAGATAGTTATCTTGTGAACTTTTTGGGACTTCGTCGAAACTCAGATTACAAATCAGTCGAAATATCAATAAATCACTTGTGTAATTAGGAAAGGATAAACAGTTTGGAAGCTCACATTCAAATAGACATGTTAAAAACATGTTTATTTGAATTAAAGTTGAAGTTCTTAACATGTGTTTCTCTTTCGCACACTGACGTTAGAGAATGATTTTTTTATTTTAAATTTCAAACTCTATTTTTAGAATTTTAATAAAGAACTGTTATGACATTGAAAACCAACATATAGATATTATGCAAAACAGGAAAGAATCAGAATTATTAATATCGCGCGGTGATAAATTGATAAATAGTTAGATATTAGTTATCAATTCAATGGCAAGCTCTGCGTTGTTTACTATTTCGTTAAATTGACGTATTTGCCGGAGAGTATTGGAAAATGCTCCTTTTGTGCGAGATGTCGAACGTTTCGTATCCTCAGCTCCGTCCAAACGGAAATTGATCGCATTCGAGACGGAAATTTCTTTTTCCAAGATATCCGGACACCGCGCGGGGAAATGTTCACGAGGAAGCGCGCCTTCTCTCCCGAAGCTTTCACAGTTATTATCCTCGAGATACTTGTCGTTTAAGAGATAAGAATCAGGCTCGAGACGAGTCGTTTCAGCACCCTGGGTCACAAAACCGTGACAATTGACTGACAATTGTTCATATTTTTTTCTCCGTTTATTACTCTTAGATAAAAGATTATAACTACTTTCTCTTGAATTGTCGATGAAACATATATGTAAGTAGAATAATTGATAATTAAAATGCGATAAGTCAAGTGCAGCAGGTGTTAACTTTATAACGCGGTAATTTTTAGCAAATAAGATGTAAGAAATAAATGCGATAATAAGCATCTTTCTCTGTTAGAATGCTGTAGCACCGTGAAAATGATGTCGCTCTTTTATCGTTTTACCATCTCCCAAGGACACCCCGTACTTTAACCCAGCCCTGATCAGAGTGATATTATAGCGATGTGCGCCAAAGCGGCGATTGTTTGCCGAGTGGTAAAAGCATCGTTTTCTGTTTGTCCACCTCCCAGACACGATGTCCAGCTCTGCTCAATGTCTCGCTTACGGACTGTAACGTCGTGTTCTTTTTCACACGGTGGACTTTATATTCCCATATAAAAAATTAAACGTACAACAACGTGTGTGTAATGCAAAAGAATCTATTCATCGCGTTTCTTCGTTTCAATTGATAAATCAATACCAGAGGAGGCATGATGAATTGATATTAGTCTTAATTGAGAAATTGTCAGAAAGCTTATTACGAAATCGTTGGAAAACTAGTTTGATATCAGCGACTGCAGCGCAATTTGTATTCGATGTATTATTGCTGTTTCACTGGTGTCAATACATAATCGTTTTCTGAGACAAGTATTGTTTTGACCCGACCCCAAGGATGTATCCGCTCGTCACGGGCCTCACCCTTCGAGCCAACCCCGGTAGGTTGATCATTTTCCTCTGACAATCTTCCTGCCGAGTGACCAGTGTACACAGAACGGACGTGCAGATACAATTCGGACAATATATCTGTGTGTCATGGAACACAATATTGCGATGTGACAGAATGATAAAATAATTAAGTATTCGAGAGACATATAATATTGAGCTTGATATCATTTATAAAGAATATTTTAAAGAATATTAAAGAATATTATATTCTTTAATAAATAATAAGAAT